AACCCTCACAGTCTGCCAGGTATTTGTCAGTTCCTAAATTATTTCAGACGTTACCTCTCCTGACTGGCGTTCCATTTTAAGAGGGGGGAAAAAGATGGCTTTGGGAGTGGTCCGGTTGGAAATGTGTTCCTGACTCGCTGGTAATTTCCATAAGGAAGTGGTAATGTGTTTAGAAAACAGGTCAAATAAATCAATGTACTGTTGCTCTCCTCACCTTGGTAACTCAAGGCAAAGGAGAAAACCTCTCTTTGGCAGCTGCATCCAGCAGCATCTCTGACTCTGCTCATTGCAATAATAAGGCATAATTTAGCCTCTTGAGAAACAAGGGGATTATTCACGTGCAATGAGAATTAGCTAAAATTACAGTTTCCTCTATTATCGTAATAAACATGACATCTTGCCAGCTTCCACATATTTTATGAATTATGTTCTCCAATATTCATTATAACCAAAATCCACTTGTCTGTGACATAAGACCTTTGATTGAGCAGTAATACCAAGTTTTAGCTCATTAGCCGCACACTGTGAATGATTAACATTAAGACCCAGTCCACCAGCTTTAAAACAACAACTTAATCATAGCTGCAATTAGTGGATTTGCTTGCAAGGGCAAAGTAACTCCATGCAAAGTTTCCCTGCTGAATTCAACTTGTTCACCTTTTGGGGGGATGGAGAGCCCGAGTCCAAAATGGAGGAAGCTATTGTAGCTTATTATATTGTAGCTGTGTTTCACCATTCACTTTATTTAACCTCCTCTGTTAAAGTAAAAACTTCCACAAGAGAGGAATGGTTTGAAGACCCCTATAACACAGGAGTCGTTGGTAGAAATGTCTTTTCAATAATTTGTGATTATTGCGGCAGAGTTTTCTAATTTACCGTTAGCTAGATTGCTAGCTCTGAGAGCTTTGTTTTCCCTCTTTAGTAACTTTTTTATTAAATGAACGATGTAAAGTGGCTAAAGTAAACAGAACAGTAGTAGAAAAAAATGGAGGGAAGCCCCAGGAGCTATTGTGACTTACTAGAGCTACGGCACTTCACCCACTAGCCTTGTTTGTACAGTCACGAGTTCAGCAAGCTTTTAAAATCAAATATTTTGATAAGATGTGTGGATGAATTTCACCATTTTCTGGTTTGACCAGTCCTTCATCCTTTTATATCACATACTCTAGAAAGTCATTCCTTGCTTTCTAGAATTAGTGCACGTACACTTAGTCCTCTTGCTTCTCGTTGGTTCAGTCCTCAAAAAGCCAAGTGTAAATGCATCCAAGAAACCTCTGCGACAGACTGAAATCACATTCTAGCCAGATATTGAAAAGGTGTTTCCAAGAGGAAGCAGCCGGGATCAGCCTGTAAAGACGATAAAACTTTGCTGGTTTCAGGAAACTGTCAAAATTTGAGACATGACTGAATTCGGCAGTGGTGTCAAAACTAAAACTTGAATAAAAGCAGTTGGCAGATATGAACAGAATGTGATTTGTGTTGTGTCATACATAAAGCCAATGTCCTTTCAGGAACCAACTCTTGAACCTGTTATCCGTTTCCTTTAACATCAGTTACCCACAGCATACAGTACGTGATCTGTAGTTGGTGGGTAATTTCAACAAATCACAGCTACAGTCTTTGATAACTCAGAAATTTCACTTGTAAGATCTACATTGTATCTTTCATATACTCAACTATATTTAGTGGTCATAACTACACATTCACTACTGTGCATGTCCCGTTGGCTGTCCCCATCATGAGTGTGTCACTGGGTTTACAGCTCGTAAGCTGCTTGGCACCCATGACTGGGCTGATCACACCACAGTGAGGAAAAAGGCACACACGCACAGAAACATGCTCACTTATGTGAGTCTTCCTCTCTTCTGAATATTGCAGATAATATGCTACCAGTCTGTTGGTCCTCCATAACTTCTGCTTGTGTGTCACTGCATCATTCTTGTGACATAATTTGGCTCTTGAATTAATGCTGAATTAATTCCATGCTTGAATTAAGGATTTAATGCCAAAGTCAATTAGCAGTGAATCCTTTGTATTTGTAATTGCAGTTGTAGACAGATGTTATTACTGCAATTGTGGCTGTTAACGACTGCATCAGAGCAGATTCGGATTATTTAACAAATATGTTGAAGTTAATAGGATTTTTACATTAGTTTGAATGAACAGTCATTCTGTGAACAGTTGAAACAGATGTCCAGTAATGCTCCTTGACTCAGCATTGAATTGCATTGCTGAGACACACCTTGACCTCTGTTTACTCCAGCAGTAACTAGCCTTTTGTCTCAGAGAGGAAACAGGTGTTCATTTTTATTGTTTATGCATTGACAAAGCTTGTCTCAGGAAAGTGTGTGTTCTAAGCGTTCTATAAATCTTGCCTCAACCTAATGATTTTATTGTAAACTCAAATACTGAAGTGGATATTATGACAGCCATTTCTACCTGTCTGTCAAGAGTCACATGTTGATCTGTGAGCTATGAACACACCTGCTGAGACTGGCAGGAGACTGTGAAGTGTTATTGACTCGAGGTGCACTGCCACTGTCCAGTAATTCAGAGAGACCAGAACAAGAGAAGTTCAGATTTCAGGAATATGATTCACATTTGATTAGTGTGGCAGAAATAGACCTGGAGGAGAGTCAGGCAATTTCCTGAAGTGCTTTGTTTTCATGGGGTTATCTCTTCATTACTTCATCATTTTGAAAAGAATTACTTTAATGAAGAGAAATAAAGATTATAAAACAGACAATCTTTATGACTGCAGACAAGCTCAAAGTGTGTTCAGAATGATTAATAACTACAGTGGTTAGTTTCTTATATCTTTGTCACATCAACAATTTGTCAGTGTCATCGGTCTCAGTTACAATAAGCAAGCAGCTGAGAGAAGGAGCCTGGCATCTTTTCACTAATAATTTAATTAGCCTGTCTCTTTCTGTTCATTATGAAGGTAGGGTACATGCAGCAGCTGACTGGAAACTGAAACATTAATGGTATTCATACGAATTAAACAAACAAGATATAACATGTTAGTGAGCTTCAGAGATGCTGGTAGGCAGATTTCTTCTCAAGCGTGCTGTTTTCCCCTGTTTCCAGTCCTTAGGCTACATCCACAAACTTAGCTAAAAGCTGTCGGCTCGTAGAATTTGGTTGAATTTTATTTTTTTTATTGTCTTTATATATTTTTATATAGGACCATGTACCATGTTAAAAACAGTTATAACCATGTGGTGTACTTCCAGACAGCATAATAAATCTGGCCCATACTTAGGCCACGTGCATGTTTTTGTCTGGCGCGGTATACGCCAGATCCACGGCATGATTGTAAGATGGTACCTCCACATCTGGACCAACTCTGGCGCACGCACAGAAATCGTCTGGCTGTCAGTGAATACTTGAGGATAACAGCCAGACTCTGCCCGGATGTGGATGTATATGGGCCAGACTTGGGTCGAAGACCCAGCCATGTGTTCCTTTTTACTATGGGGTTACCTAAAGCCTGTTTTCATCTCCGGGGGGGAAAAAAAAAAAGCACAACACTGGGGCATAAAATAGAAAAAAAAACAAATAGACACTGGAATGTACATATTTTGCATATGTAGTACTGTAAAGATTTGAGTGTTATCCAAATGGAAGTCACTGCTCCTTGCCAAGAAATTGTCTTTCACATTAACTCCCTCTAAATCACAAATTGGTGTTCTTACACTTTGGTTGTTGTACAGATTATACAAGTAAGGTATAAAACTTGCTGAGTGATAATTAGTGAGCTTTAGAGGTGCTGGCAGGTGGATTTAGGTTCAGGTCTTTATGTTAATCTAAGCTAAGCGTCTCTTGGCTTTAGCTCCGTATGTAGGATATGAGGGTAGTATCGATCCTCTCATTTAACTTGAGACACACTGCTAAATATTTTCTTCCTTACCTGTTTTGCATAATACTGTTAGATAGTTGTAGATGTCACATTTTGTTTCCAACTATTTAAGCTGAAGGTTGATTTCAGTAGGTTAAGGTTGACACCTCATTTCTGCCAATTGCCATCTCACTCGATTACAAAGCTGCAGCACCACATCGCCTCAAAGATCCTACAGACTCACTGTGGTTGAAATTCTAGGTTCAGGCAGTGAAACTGACCCTGTGCAGCCGGTGCAATCTGATGCTGGAGTGAAGACAAACAATAGCTCAAGCTTCCCAGCAATGCTCCTCAATATACCCAGACCTAGGTTTCTCCTCCTGCTGCTCTTCAACCCACAGAGTCTTTCAAAAGTACCTTTTTAAATATAGAAAATTGTATGTTCTGAATTGCCAAAACCTTTTTTTATCTGCCATTACAAGAGCACTGGAGCAGATAAAGTTCTGGCAACAACAAACCAATAAAATTCACATTATGCATGCAACATTTTTATTCTTGGTGTCACTGCAGTTTAATCTCTATGTTTCAACTTTTTACATCTAGTATTTTCTAGTATTAAAAGTGGTATTATACAGCACCCTCGTCTAGGCTTGGACACGGTTCAAAGCAAGATCTCCCTAAAACTTAAGACCAGAATTTCATAATAATAAGACACAATAAATGTATATATAAAAAAGCAAATACATATAACAATGTGTATTGTATTTCATGTTCTTTCTTTGTTGCATTTGTTTTTATTTATATTTATTTATTTTAAATCTTCCATACATGACCTGTAAAAAAGTAGCACAACACAGACCTCTGCTGTTCATCCACATGCTCGCTACGTTCCAGTCATACTTTTGCATGCAACATGGCTAAATTAGCAACTTCAATCTTCACATATGACACTGTCACAACTTACTGTGTAGCCATATTTCAAACCTACAGTTAGATATCTAAAGAAAGATATGAACAATTGTGTCTTTTCTATCCAAAAACGGTATTTACTGTATTTTATGTGATGGCCGATGGATCCAGTTTGTGCTTGTGGATTTAGTATATAAATATTAACATTTGTTAACCTTCAGTTGTTATTGTTCTTTGTGTCTTTCCTCAGCCTCGGAGCCGGTCGGTGAAAGAAGCAGTGGGCAGAAGTCGAGGAGAAGTCCTCTACAGACACTTTATGGTGATGGAGACCAGGTCAGTCCTTTGTAACTACGACTCTCTAACTTTACTACAGACAATCTGTAATGCCACTCCTTATTAAGGCCAAGCCTGGACTCTTTCTGCTCGTGTTACACATTTATTTGCAAGTATTTATTCAGGCTTACATTTTTGGGCAAAATATCTGCATGTGTTTGACTGCAAACTCAATTTGACAAGCAGTCTTGGCAAAGGTAATGATGGATGGACAGTTTATGATCCTGATTTCTGGCACTGAAGCCTGATACATTAGGACAGTGCAGGGAAAGGCCAAAACAATAACTGGCAGACAGTATTAACCACAAGCAAGCTTGGCCAGATATTTAATGAAATGAAAATGAAATACAGTAGGGGTCTTAGTTTAAGATTTTATTGGAAAAGATATATCAGAAAAGTGTATTGAAGAGTGGCATGAGATTTGTTTGTGAGGAAGTTTGTGAACGATAATAAAAAGCCAAGCTAATTCAGGAAACCACGGTGTGTAGATGTAACATGCTGTTGCTGAAGAAAGCTGGAGCAAAATAAAGTTTCCTATTTACAAACAATCCAGGATGCACACGCACAATGATGGTTTAAAAAATGAAATGTCATGATTGTTTAAATAGGGTAAGGGTTAAAAGGCAAATTTATGTGCAGTCTTGTGCTTGCATTTTCAAAACGCACATCTGTTGTTGGCTGAAGCTAGCTAGCTACCTAACTAAGATGGCATGTAGAATTCCAGTGAGAAAGGGCAGCTAGTAGCAACAATGATGCTAACAAAGGCTACATAAAGTTAGGTCTAAAGGAAGACATCGGCTGACAAGCACAGCTTAAACCACAGAAGCACAACAATAACTTTTAATGTTGATCTATAAATACGCTCTTCGTGCTCAGTAATCCGTCTACATTAATGTCACCCGAGTCTTATACAGTCACAGTTGTTGTCTACAAAGCGATTTAGCTTAAATTAGTGAGAATGATTGAAAACAGCGGGTTGCGCTACGCAGCAGCTGAATAGTTATAGTCATAGATATTTTCCGGAACTTGTTACTGCTCCGTTAATATGCAGTGTACTGTACTGGATGTGGTGTTGAGCTGCCTGGCTCACAAATGTCATCATCTGCACATGTCAAACTGAAACGTACTTGTTTTTTCTTATATTTGTGGCAAATAGTGAACGGATACAATGACTTTATGATGTCAGACCAATAGATGCTTTAAACCCTGTTTTTCAGATCATATTTCATATATAGAATACCATTTCACCTTTAATCAGATGTTTCCTGTGTTGACAGAAATTGTGAAATTGCCATTGGATTGTTGTTGAAGTTTTTGAAAATGAAAGAGACCAACTGATTTCAGTATACAGCCATGAAACCTAATGTAACCCTCCTTTTGTAACAATGTTTTCAGAAGTGACATAGCTGTTTTTAATTGAATGAAGTTTACCACCTTTTTCACGAGTTTGACATTATTATTGTTTACCCCCCTCGCTGCGTTCATGCTCAACTGGGTCATTGTTTCCCAGCTGACCTGCTGGACACCATGTCTGTATCTTATGACTTGTCAGTTTGAACATCAGAATAATTACGTACAGTAAATAATCAAGCTCCATAACGTCCCACTGTCTGTTGGAGGCCTCGTGTTTCTACAGTGTGATCGACTCTTAAGACTCATGTGGTTTCAAGGCTGTCAGCTGGGAACACATCGGAACAAATGGAAACTATTTCTTCACTGTCAGCCGATGGTCACATTACACAGCTACTAGCTTACTGTCACCAGTGAGCACATGTCTAGCTACAGTGCTGACTTTATTTGTTTTACTGTACACCCTGATGAGAATATCCTTGTTTTACAGCAGGAGTGTTCTGGCCTTTAATCTGGATCCTGGTCTTTTCTGTGATGAGTTCTCATGGTCTCTGTCTCTTCTGGGTGCTCTGGTTTCCTACAGATGCAGCTCAGCTCGGTTTGAGACAGAAATTATGAGTGTCTAGTGCGCATCCAGTGCTGGCTGAAGTGGCCCTCTGGAGCAAATGAATACATAATTAAAGTAATGAATACTTGTATTATTGGTGCTGCTGTTAGTCTGGTAGCTCTTAATGTGTGAAAGCCCGCCATCCTGATGACATCATTGTCTGAGCAGTTTTTATAGGGTCTATAGAAAAGCCATTCACAGTAAGGTCTGTGGATTATCCCGAGTAACCAGGACAACATTTCATAACCCATTACCCATAATTCCATTACACCGTCTATTTCATTTAGGGGAAGTTTAAGCAGTAGTGTCAGCGACAGGTATCTCATGAGCTCCTGCCTGGTTTAGAAACCACTAGGTGGAGTTTGGGTGAAGAGGACCTTGAAGATTTGGAGGAATCCTCAGTTATTATATAGTTCAGTATCCAAACTCTGCACCATGGAAACAATTATTTTCTTGTTTCATCACATTGCATCAGATGTCTTGCACTTCACGGTTGTTTAACCGTGTGACAAGTTAATTGTTGAATCTAGTTAGCGAAAATTAATGTGGCTGTAATGGAGCTTGATTTATTGTGCTGCGCAGCATTTACAGTCATGCTGCTCTCTAAGGACGGGAGACGAAGCAGCAGCCAAACCATGCAGCTGATTCAATAAGGCTGAAATGCCCCTCAACCAGTTCAGTTTAACCAGTTAGTCACAGTTTAACTCTGAGAAGCTCAAAGTAACTGATGTTTGTGTGAATGTAAAAGTTGGATTGGGTTATATTAGTAGCATTATTTGTAAAATATGTGCATTTTTAACAGGGGGGGGGGGGGGGCGGGGTTGATCTGCTTTGGTCCAGACTGAAACCTCTCAGCAACTGAACTGCAGTGAAATTTTACTCTTGTATTCATGCCACCGTGAGGCTGACATTTTCATTTTGAGTGAAATACCTTGACAACTATCAGATCGACTGCCAAGGACTGGCATCTGTCCTGCAGATGCACTGTGCCAGTGAAGGAGAGCTCATAAGGACAGTTCAGAGGTGGGATTTATATGAGATCACTAAGCTGATGATAAAATAGTGAACCATTTGGAATTTTCCACATTTACATATACATTTTTCTTGAAATATGGTCAGATCTTCATCTCAGTGACATGGAAGTAAATCTATCACAAACTCAAACAAAGAAAATCCACCTGTTGGAGCGGCCCAGTCAGAGCCGAGACCTTAATCCAGTAGAGATGCTATGACTTCAGAGAGCCGCTCACACCAGACATCCTGAGAACAGCTCTGTAGGAAGAATGGTCCAGACTTCCTCCTGGACGTTGTGGAGGTCTGGTCAGCAGCTACTGGATGAGCTGGTTTGAGGTTATTGGAGGTTCAACCAGCTATAAGATCCAAGGGTTCACTTATTTTTTCCACCAGCTCTGTGAATGTTTAATGGCTGTGTTCAATAAAGACACGGAATATTATAACTGTTTGTGTGTTATTAAATCAAGCACATTGTGTTTGTGACGTAGATGAAGATCAGATCACATTTTGTGACCGATTAATGTAGAAAACCAGGTTACACCAAAGGGTTCACATAGATTTTCTTGACACTGTACTTTGGCCACCTTCACCTGAGAAAAGCTGTTACTATATAAACAGAGGTGGAGATGGTGTTGAAGTGTTAATACTGAGGTAAATGCAATCAAACACATTTTTACATCATGTATGTTCAAGTTCAAATTCAAGTTTGGTGAACACAAACCACAACACTATTCCTTATAATAACCAGATATTGTGTTCAGTAATAATAGCTCAATATCTTCAGTTTTGTTTCTAATAGTCAGCTGTTTGCTACAGTATATAGAAGCCTATATTTAATGCACAGCTCTTTTCTCACTACAGTCGTCCGTGTGACTCCTGTAAATCTGCACTATGGTTATGGCTTCGTTTTAGAGCCAGAGAATTTTCCCTGCAGAACTGACAGTCGCCTGTAGCATGACCTCAGTAAATCCAGCAGAATACCTAATCATCCTCTGTTAACGTATCTCTTCTTAGTATTCACATAATCCTTCTTTTAAATGCATATGCAATGAGGAGAAAGACACGCAAATGACATTCAAACTGCAGCTCCAGTCTCCTGCGTCTGCTTGATAAATACAACACGTGTGTTTGGGGCAAAATGTCACATCAGTTTTTCCGGATCAAAAACCTCAGTCCCGAAGTCTTGTTTTTTTTTTTATTATTGAGCCACTGGCCCCTAAAACGTGTGTGTATGATATATTCAAGCTCCTGTGTTTGAACCTGTGTAGGAGTAAGGAAGAAGAATAAATGCATGAAGCTCAGCTCTGAGCATCTTAAATTCCAATACAATTAAATCTATCTCATTAACTTGAACCTTAGGGAAAGTAACTCCTGCTCTGAGTAACTAAGTGGCTGATACACAAAAGACTGCTTGACTGTTGTGATATTTTCCATGGCTGCTTTGAGGTTGTTTTATCCAGCAGAAGAAAAGAAAAAAAAACAGCCATCTTTGGTTCCACCACTTTTGTCCAGACTGAAATATTTCTACAACTGTTTGTTGCATTGTCATAAAGGTTTTTACAGAGGCTCATGGTCACCAGATGATATATCTTTTTGGAGATCCCCTGACTTTTACTCTAGCACCACCTTGGGGATGGCATTTATATTTATAGTTTTGTGTAAAAGGTCTCAACAACCACTGGATGTGTTGCCATACAATTTGGTACATGCATTCAGGATTAACTGTATTAACACCTGACTACTCATCTACTGCCGTTATCAGCTCTACATTTGTCCACTACGCTGCTTTGTGACCAAAGTACCTGCATATGTAATGACAGTCACTGCAGCCTAAAGCTGTATGCTAACATTATTAGGGATGGGTATCGTTAAGTATTTAACAGTACTACTACTTTTATCGATACAACTTATCGATACGGTACTTTGACCGTACTGTTATCGGTATACTGTTCATATCATATGTCATAATATTTCTCCGTCCGTGTGTGACAGACTTTCACTAGATGCTTCCAGAGAGAGAGAGAGAGAG